GATGAAAAATAAAATTTAAAAATGCCATCCTGAGCCAGAGATTTGGCTCAGTGGTTCTACCATCTGCCTTGTAAGCACAAGGGCCCAAGTTCAATCCCCAGTACCAAAAAAGAGAAAAAAAGAAGACATCCTCCCTGAAAAATAGTTGGGTTCCATATATGTAGGGCCTATTTGGAAGATTATATTTCCAATGGAAAAAAAAATTGATAATTTGTGTTTTCTCAAATTTTATTTAAGTCCTAGTTTACCCTTCATTTTTAAAGGAAAGTTTTGCTGAATACATAACTCTTGCTTTTATTATCTTTTTCTTTTGTGATTTTGTATATATCGTTTCACTGCCTCCTGGTTCTCACTGTCTCAAATGAGAAGTCCCCTGTGCTGGTATTAAGGATTTATTGTACAGTATAGTAAGTTTCCCTTTTCTTTTCAAAATTATCTCTTTGGCTTTTAATGATTTAACCCTAATACCATGCTATGCATAGCTTTCAGTTTATGCTGCTTAAATTTATTGAGTTTCCTGAATAATGTATTAACATTTTCATCAAATTTGGGAAGTTTTGTCCATTAATTCTTAAAATTCTCCTTTTTCTCATAATATCTGTACTATTCCCCTAAGTCTATGCCTTTCTTCTTATTTCCCTTCATTGCTTTTTCCTTTTGGTTTTTCCAAGTGGATGATTTCACTTTTCCTGTATTCAAATTTGCTGTTTCTTCTGCTTGTTCAGATCTGGTGTTAATCCTTTTTTAGTAAATTTTTCATTTCAGTTTTTATTCTTTTCAACTCTAGAATATCTATTTCCTTTTAAAAATAAATGATATTTTTACTGACATTTTGAATTATATGAGACATTCTTAAACTTTTTTTAGTTCTTTAGAAAAACTGTCTATTCTGTTCTATATGCTTGATTACTATATTTAAATTTCCCACTCTGGCCTTCAACTAGTAAGTCAAATGTCTCATAATCCTTAATATAATGTCCATTGATTGATTTTTGGCCTACATAGTGGTAATTGTTTCTTGTTTCTTTGTATACCTCATAGATTTTTGTTACAAACTAAATGTGTTAAATAATATAATGCCAATTTTGCAACTTAGATTCTCTTCATACTGTAGGGTTTGTCATTATTTTTTAAAGACTTGTAAACTAATTCTGAAAACTACTGTTTACCACCTGTAGCCACCAAAGCTACTGTTTGGTGAGCCTAATAGCAAGCTAATTTTTGGTCAGGTGTGTGTGTGTGTGTGTGTGTGTGTGTGTGTGTGTGTGTGTTACTGGGGATTGAAATTGGGGCCTTGTACATGTTAGGCAAACATTCTACTGCCAAGGTACATTTGCAGTTCAGGACAGATTTAAAAACAAAACAAAAAAAAAAACCCTTGAAACAATAAGTTTGTATATGTATGCTAAAGTATTCCCTTAATATTCAGCAGGCAATTACAGACTCTGTTTCACCGTAACATTCTGCTTGTTCAGAGCCATGAGGCCAGTCATGGGTGAAAACCTAATTTCTCGGGTCTTTCTGGGAATACACACATCCTTGGGCATATGCACAGCCTTTCAGATGCCCAAAATCACGGTGGAGCATTCAAAGCCCCTATGGACATATCACTTGTGAGATTTTCCTTTTAAATTGTTTGTATAGCTAGTCTATTGTCTATTCTGAATTTTGCCTACCACCTCAGACATTAGAAAAATGACGCAATTGCTTCTTTTTCACAAATGCCTGTCTCAGAAAGGCTTTTGGACTGAGAGCTCTAAGTTGGATCAAATCAAGATAGTCTTGATTTTGATAGGCTTTCAGGGTACTGTCAGATAGATCAAATCAGAGTCAAAGTCACCATATTACAGAGATACATGCATAGCTATGTTTACAACAGTGCAAAATTCATAATAGTTATATCTTGGTTCCAGCTTATATGATCCTACGTACAAATGAATAAAGAAAACATTGCATGGGGTCTCATTCACTATTCTATTCTTCCAGTACCTTCGGGCTGATGGTTTTCACTATAATGACAAATTTTTGGCTTTCCAAGGGTACCTTAGAATTGGTGAGTCACAAAAGACAGCAAACTAAAAGGCCACAAATCTTGCTATTCTCACAACGTTCGAGCACATTTCTTGAATAGAAGCTTTCCATAAAGCTCCAATACTTTATTTCCAGGGGGGAATAAAAGTTGATTCTGACAAATTTCTCCCAATTTTCTTATGACTTTTGTTGACCGAGGAGGAAACTCTTGAAAGTTTTTACTTCAAAATTCATGTTGATATAATTCTGATGATCTACTTTTCACCTAGGAATGCTCTAAATGGCAAGAAGTGGCAAAACCTAGCCCAAATATGTTAGAAGTTTACACTTCTTATTATAATTGTATACATACTCAACACTCATTTTTTCCTAAGGAATCAGGAAAACTTGTTCACCTGTTATTTGAATGCCATTTGAAGGCCAAAATATAATGCTTAAATTCCATAAATGCTTCCCACAGTTGGACAAATGGACATTTCCTAAACTCTAAATTAACTTTTGTTTCTTCAATGTTAATATCAGATATGGCTATGCCAAAACCTTCACAGAACATTAAAATTTTCAAGTCTTTAAAAAGATACATATTGATTTAAAATATGGGAAAAAACAGGACTACACCAACAATTATAAGAAAAAGAAAACATAAAACTGTTCAAATGTTTGGGAAGATCTCAACTTTTATACACAATGGGTTTGTTTTTATAACAAAATCAATTTCCAAATTGAGCAAATCCTCCCAAATTTTTAGTTGCAAATAACAACTAAAATGCTTTAAATATACTCTTTGTAACAAAGAACTTTTGAGTTACTTCCTAGTGGAAACAGGAGAAAAACAAAAGTAAATTCAAAGAGAATATCATACATTTTCTCAGAATTCTAGAAAATTAATTTCAACACAGTATGTCAGGTATCATCTCAGAAAGGGCATTTTGAATTCCTAATTCAATACAACAGTTTTGGTCTGTAAGAAGTTGAACAGTACAAAATTCATGCATAGATCAGTAGTAGCCATTGATCTACCTATAGATGGGTGGTAATAAAGAAAAAGACAAAAAACACAGGGAGGGAGAAGTAAAGGAAGCTGGAAGGTTCTAAAAGTTAAAGAAGACTACATGAAGAATCCACAGCAAAAAATTGAGACTGAGTACATATGGATCATAAGATGTTTTTCCTTTGTCATACACTCAGGATTCTAATATCTTAATGCCATATCAATGATAAATTTTTATACTATAATTCTAAATGCAACCATCATTTCAGATAGTTGTAGTGCAAGGATCAAAGCCAAGACCTTACATTTGCTCAGCAAGCACTCTGCCACTGAGCTGCATCGCTAGATCACAACCATAACTTTAACAGTGAGAAAGAAATTCCAATTTTATGAAATATAAAAAAGCACACCAATTAAGATATCCGTGCATAATTGTGCATTAGAAAATTAACACTATTTATTTTACTTTCATAATTATTTTCTTAGTAAAGGATTGATTAATATACTTGTTTTTTTCATTTTTTTTAAAGTAAAACATTTTGATAGATCATTATAACTAGATTTGTATAATTGTTTTATTACTTAAGCTTTACCTTTCTTCTAACATAAAATATTCCATGGTAAAATATTTTGCTATGAATTTCAGCCCAAATAAATTGCATGTATATAGCAGAACCTAAAATAATTTTAAGCAGTCCATATATAAATATATCTATAAAGAATCGAAGTACATTGTGACAAAGTGGTTCTATAATAAGTGTGAGCAGTTTTAGATCAAAAATTAGAAAATGGTAAAACAATTATTAGTTAATAATTTCTTGAACTATAATATATAGTTATAAATTGGATTTAATATTTTGGTGTAATTTGATTTTTATATTATATCATTTTATGTATCTTTTCATTTTCTACCTGATAAAATGGTTCTGTACTTAAGTGAGCAGAAGATAATGAAGTACTTTTTTGTATAGTCTATGTAGTAAAATTGTTAATATCATAAGTACTTTCAGGCATAGAGCTGAAAAATGACATCTGATTTCCCCATAAAAGATTGCATTTAATATACACCAATAAAATAATTTCCTAAAAGCAATATTAATTATAAAATTTTTCCAATATAATCATTTTTTGGAAAACTTTTGAGTGAAGGAAATTTCAAGAACAGGCATCTGGGGTCAGGAAGAGACATGGAGGCACAGGGAGAGGGTTCGCAGGAGTGAGTGAGGTGCTGGGTGAATTCGTCCCATATGCCCACAAGAGGTGCGATTACCACGCACCTCAAACACAATAAACAAGAAGAAACTTTAAAAAAGAATTGGAAAACACCACTTGAATGGTGACTAAATTGGTATTTTGAGAAATGTTCAATCTCAGTGGAATATTCATGAATTTCTCATAATACCTCACCCTTTAATTCTGCAAATGAAAAGAAAAACTGAATTGGTCACAGCTTTGAATCAGCACTCACTGCAGACACTAAATTTCATTTGCCACACAATATAAAACTGTCAGAAAGGCAAAGCAACAGCAGATCAAATACTCTTCTGGGGTATATAAACTCTAAAAGTCTGCTGACTGCTTTAATCTGAAAGGTTTCTGAGTGTTGAAGGAAGCATCAGCTCTTCTTGAGGAGGAAGACTGACAGGAGCGCACACTATGTTCACTATTCAGTCTTGGATAATCTTTCCCTATTGCTGCCTTTTCCCCATCAGAGTGAATGTGAGGTCCTCTCACTCACTTGACAAACACACCTCTCCTGCTCTTTTATAGATGTCCAGCGAGTTTTCTAAAAGAGTTCTTTTTTTGTTTGTGTGTGGTACCAGGGATCGAACTCAGGACATTGCGCTTGCGAGGCAGGCCACCGAACGGATGAACTAAATCCCCGGCCCTGTCCAACAAATTTTCAATCCCATGAATCTTTTATCATGATGCCTACATAAGCAACTGAAGTTTTAGTGAAATTTTCATAGGAACTTACCCCATTTTTTGGAAAAGCAATCCATCCCAGGTCACCCATGACAGTGCGTGAATCCAACAAATTCACTGAAAGACAAATAACACAAAAGTGTTATTTGTGAAATATATAACAACATACCTTTATTTTGATAGTGCAAATTGTTTAAATAACTGAAATTATATTAAAATTTCCTTATGATGAGTGCAAGAGATGAAATTTGGAGAAAACATTATTAGGATAAAAGAGAACAAGTAAGTTTGAATAAACACTCAGAGAAAACTTAAAAACACCAAAATACATAATTATCCTAAATAATTTTTTAATAAATTAGAGGACAAAAAAAGAGCAAATAATAAGAAAAAGGAAAAAAATGAAAGAAAGGACAACGAAAAAGCCCTATGCAGCTTTTTTGAAAGGCATTAAGTTTTAGGATTAGGCTACAGCCATAAAATTGTAGATAACATATTTTATTTTCTTCTGGAAAGCTGTTATGAAGCAATTAACAAATAATTTACATTAAACAGCAATAAACTATTCCCAAGCTTATAACATTTCTGTGATATTAGCCAAAATCTGTAATCCAAATTGCAAGTTTAATTAAGAAATAAATCTATACACCCTTAACCAAGACACGGAAACTGTCACAGTTCTTTGGGTTGTTACTACAGCTAACAGTCCACTGCATTTCCAAGGACAGCTTCTACTAACATATGACCAGAATCGAAATGTGCTTCACATAAAACTATCAGTACATTACATCTGCAAAGTCTAAGATATCTGGAAACTTCAGGATGGAAATCAGAATATCATCATTATAAAGAAAGCCATAGATAAGTAGGTATACACACACACACACACACACACACACACACACACACAAACTCCATGGTGCCCAATGCTCTTCCCAAGAAATCAGAATAGTTTAAAAGGCACTCAAAAGAGAAACGGGTTATTACTAGGAAGAAGTACCAAAGCATCTTATACTATATTCAAATACCCATCTTCTGAAAGGTAACAGATTGTGAAAGGATGATTCTATCTGGAAGTGTTAAGCCTAGATTACAAAAGGATAGCAACTGGTAGACTAGGAAATGTATTTTCATACTCTATAATAGAATATATGATATAAAAGAGTAACGACTGAGAAAATCAGGACCATGATTGAAATTGAAATGTTGGTTGATTGGCTTTTTTTGTTTGTTTTTGAGACAGGGGACTGGCCTTGAACACACTATGTAGCCCAGGCTGGCCTTGAACCTGTGATGATACTCTTGCCTTAGCATCCCAAATCCTGTGACTGCATGCGTGCGCCATCATACCAGGCATGGAATTGAAATTTTGCACAAAATAAAAATTAAGTGCATTTAACCTTCATTATTCATTATTTTCTTTCACAGTAGCGCAAATTACTGAGATAGGCATACATACATATCTGACAAAATTAAGTGTATAATAGTATTAAAAGTAAAATAAATCAACAATTTAAAATTGTAGAAAACAGAAATATTATAATTATCCCATAGACGTATTATCATGGCAAAACATCCTTATTTTTGTAACTTCTATACCTCTCAACTATAAAAATGTTCCCCACAGAATATTTGTATTGTCTTTAGCCTACTCTTATCTTCTTGGCTTCATGGAATAATAAATCTGCAGAACTGCTATAAAAGAATGAAACATTAATTAAAGAAATACTATTTAAAATAAAACCAATGCCAACTGTTCTGTTACCACTGACTGATCTTGAGTGTGCTGACAGACATGCTACTACATCTAATTTTTCAGCTGCAACTACCCTCTTTTCTGTGCAGTTTCCAGGTTTCCCTGGGAATAAGTCTACATTAAACACAAATGTCCTTGTCCTCGTTTTAGTTTTTCTGGCACACTGGGATTATGTCTAGACATGACTAAATACCAGGAGAGGGCAGAACCTAAATTGTTATATTTATTCATTTGGTTCATCTTGGATATTGAGTAGCGGTGTGGTGTATCTCTGTAAATCAGATAAAGTAGAGCAAATCAGAAAACTAAGGGTGTTACTGCCACAGCAAAGAGAATTTAATCCTGTGGTGGCGATCGGATGTTCACAGGAATTCTAGGAATTCATAACCAGCCTGCCTGGGGAAACAGGCATTCCTTGTAGACCTCATAATATGTGGATCTGAAGTATTCATTTTATCAACAGAATTTCAAGTATTTCTAGTTGTTTTCACTTAAATTAGCTTTAATCTGCATTATTACTTTTATTTTGGGGGCTGAAAATATATGGAAGTAAATGAAGGACCTCAAAACACTAGATTGTTAATACACCTCACTGGAAGTTTTTAACATTGGACTACATTGTAAAATACATGAAAAAAAGTACAAGCAAAATCTGTGTAATCTCACTTCTGATTTTGTCAAAATGATTTCTTCACATAAACACTGGAGATTTGTAGGAAATATATGCATATCACTTTATTAGGCTACTGTGTAATCTGGATTTCCTTCTGGAAACAAATGATTTCGTAAAATTCACAATGCTAAGAAGCTACTCACATATGCCATTACAGAACTGCAAGTCAAGAAAAGAGTGCAATTACATACTTTACACAATTACATGGAGAGTACTATAATTTTGTTCATGTCATACAGGATAGATGCTTTGGGTCTGGATCAGTTCCTCACAAACCCCAGAGAAAATACCTAAAGTTTAATCATATATTTTGTTTCAGACAGCTGAAGAGGTGTTTGCCAGTACACCAATCATCCGGTGAGTGAGCTGACCCACGTGTGTGGGTGAATCAATACACACCAGCACTTCGCCACATGGACATCTGACGAGGTCTGGAGACGTTCTGATTAGGAAAACTTTGGGTGCAGGTAAGGAAGTATTTGCTACTGGCATCTAATGGGAAGAAGTCAGGTGTGAGGCTAAACATTCCACAATGCATGACAAAGGTTGCCAGGAGCCAATTTCCAAGTCCATAGGAGGTCAATGTGAGACAATTTCACTAGTGCCAAAGTTGAAAAGCCCTGTTATACACCCATTGGTCCTACTAAAATATCTCTGCCTCTACATCCCCTTGTAGAGTACATCTTAGCGTGATCTTCATTAACAGAAGTTAGCATATTCTGGAGGCATGCCTTATGAACCAAAATAATACCCCTACTTAAGGAAATAAAATAATAAGATCATCTTACTCTTATGTGGAAAATAAAGTATATTTCAATGATACAATTCCACAAAATTGTTTTTCACAGAAAGCCTGTCATTATTACATGCTTTAATAATTTCTCAACATTCATGATGGTGTATGTAAAAAATACTCTGTCACTGATGTTACTAATACCTCTCTTTTTTATAACTAGTTATATAAAACATAGAAACACTGAAGGGTAAAACAAAGTAGGTAAAACACAGTAATATGGATAGAATATATATATAAATGTGAATTTTCAGAAGTTTATTCCCCAATTGTATTGCCAAATTTATTAAAAGGGGGAAAGGCAGTAATACAGTACAATCACTGAGTGTCTTCAGTGCTACGACTACAATAATTAAATTGTTCTGAGCAGTCAGTATATATTCTTGTTGTAAACTGCAATGAATACACAATGATCCTTCATTGTACAACTTAATTAAAACTTGTCCGGGAGAAGCCACTAATGAATATAATTAGAGGAAATGTTTGATACCACAGTTACTCTGGAAGACATTAATTAGATATCAGAAATTTTATTGAAAATGTTTTTATTCTATTATTTAGACTTTAAAATGTAGCAACACAATTAAACTGAGACAACCTTCAAAGTCACTGTCCCTCAGCTAAGTCACTAAAAGCAGGAAATTTTATCGAGTTCCCAGGAAAGAGACCTGTTATCAGATTTCTGAAGAGTGGAAAGACAGATCGAGGATATCTGATTGCATCTGACTGGGCCAGGCCTGAGAATGTGTGAGCCTCAGGACACACAGGGTACAAGAAGGCTTGAAAGCATCTTCGTTCATATTGTTTATGCTTCTGCCATGATCTTCACATTAACAAGCATAGTTAAAGCAGCAATCAGAGCTTCAGCACAATATAAGAAAAGAATGATCTGGATTAATAGCAGATAGGATGGCATTCATTTTCTCTAAAGACATGGAATCAAAATCCCATTGCATAAAATAAACTTTCGATGGAAGTATTTTAAAGATTCTGCTGAACGGTATCAGAAAGGCTACTGGATGAAATTGCAACACATATTTAACCAATCTATGAGGAAATTTCCAGATTTTGGCAACCATTAATTTTGTTCAGCTCCAGTTACATAGTACCACTATTAATTCAGTTCTGTCCAATGTACTGAAAAGGGTTTGTGTGAGGGAAGGGGGTCTTTTGAAGAAAATATTATTTAAAAAAAACAAACTCCTGTCTAGGAAGTTACTGGATATGGATGTATTCCAGAAACTGGTAAATCATGTACAGAAAATATGGAGAATCAGCAGGAGAGCAAAGCCAGCAGATCAAGCTTGGCAGAGTTAAGTAAGTATCCGGTTCCAAATTATATCATAGAGTTGTGAATCCATCTAAACTTGAAACTTGCCTCTCTTAACATTTGCTTTCATGTGGGAAAAATCAATTTTATTACCTAATCCATGGAGAACAGACTTGCTGTTATTTTCAGATGAACACACCCTAACAAAGCTTCTTAATTCTGTCAGATGGAAGGCAGACGCATCCTTCTCATCCCAAACTGTGTTTTTCTTCCATCACTTTTTGATACCTTCAGAATTCTATTCACAGATCTATCTCAATGGAGATTCACAGCTGAGTCACTTGAACTCCCATATTATCTTTGAAGCGGTTTCTAAATAAGATGATTTTGTTGTATCAGTTTAATAGTTTACACTTAATTGTTGACTGCCAAGAACCAGCATCTTTCTTTCAAAATAGTTTTAATCTTTTTTTTATTTTGAAATTCCTGTTTCATTTTGTTCATATTACTGCAAAATATTATACATCATCATAAAGAAGCTTTAGTGCCTATTATTCAAAACTAAGTAGAAGTACATTCACATCATGATGCTATGTCTATACTGGAGCAAAAGTAACTCAT